ATACGCAACCACAAACAGCATTTCCATGTGGACTTTCGTCACACGTTGTACATTACAGTGTCTTTATTTTTTTAAAAGATTTTATTTATATACTTGTGAGAGAGAGTGCACACGCAAGCGCACCCGTCCGAGAGAGAGAGAGAGAGAGAGAGAGAGAGAGAGAGAGCGCGCATGAGGTGGGGGGTGGGCAGAGAGAGAAGGAGAAACGGATTCTCCCCTGAGCAGGGAGCCAAATGCGATATGGGGCTGGATCCTAGGACCCCGAGGTGATGACCTGAGCCAAAGGCAAACGCTTATTGTGTCTTTAATCTCACATGGAAAAGTAGGTATGAATTCACTATCATACAAGAGCCTCTGAGACAGCAACAATATTATTTTGCATGCACACAAGCAATAAAGGCTTAGCATGAGATTATTTCAGAGTAAAATTAATATTTGCTATTGAAAATAACTGAAATATGGTCAAAAGAAAAAGAGAGACACAGTGAAATTAATTATCCCTCTCCAAACATCCATCCCACCTTGATCCTTTCAGGTTTATTAACAAATACAGTTGACCATTGAATAACAAGGGTTTAAAAAGCATGGGTCTACTTACACAAAGATTTTTTTTCTTTTTTGTAAATATCATGTAGTACTATAAACATGTTTTCTCTTCGTTACACACTCCTTAATATTTTTTCTCCACCTGACTTTATTATAAAAATACTGTATAGAATACAGACAACATAAAAAGAGGGGGATGATTAACTGTTAATGTTCTAGGTAAGGTTTCAACAATACGGTATTTCCATGGTAAAGTAGGAATGGTTTTAAGTTTTGGGGACTCAACAAAATTACACACAGATTTTCAGTTCTGGAGGGGGTTGGTGCCCCTCATGCCTGCCCTGTCCAAGGCTACACTGTGATTGATCTAGGTCATTTAAATTTGGATTTTTCTCTGTAATAAATACTCGGATTTAGAGTCATGTCTGAAAATGGCACTGACTTATTAACAACTTATTGTTATTAATTCTCTGATTTAGATTTGCCTTTCTATTGCACATACTTAGCCAATTGTTTACATCTTTAATATTTTTATCCTTTATAAAGACTCTTTCTTTCCATACTGTATATTAAAAACAAAGGTCATTCATCAGCCATTACACAAAGGTTTCTATCTAGTATGCTTTATCTGATATTGAGTAAGGGTTCAGTTCCAGGTAAAGACGTTACCACTATTCTTGACAATTTTAAGGTATCGCCCCAGGATGTATTATCTCCTGTTGAATACTTTTGATTATGAATGAAATGCTTTATCACATTTCTTACATTTGTAGGGTTTCATACATGACGCACTCTCTGATATTCAGCAAGTTTGTAGTTCTGCTTAAAGACTTTGCCACTTTTTTTTTTTTTTTTACATTTGTCGGCATTCTCCCCACTGTATTTTACCTCATATTAAGTTTTGAGTGGCAGTTAAGGTCTTTACCACATTGTTTACATTTGTAATATTTCTTCCCATTATGAAATGTCTGCTACTGAGTCTCGAAGACTAGTTAAAAGGTTTGCCACACTTACTACCTTTTTCAGTCTTCACGTCAGTAAAGATACAGTAATATACAATAAGATTTGAGCTTTCATAAAAGACTTTCCCACATTTATTATTCTAATATTGGTTCTCTGGAAACTGTATTCTCTGATGTTTATTAGGATTTGACCCTTGATTGACATTTTCCCCAGATTCATTATATTGGCAAGTTTTGTCTCCTTTATAAACAACATGGTAATTATGGAAAATACAGTCCTCACAAAAGGCCTTCCTAAGTTCACAACACATGAAAACTTGCTCCAAATTAAGTATTCTGTGGTTAAGTATTCCACAGTGATGTTTGGATAAAGACTCTCCTGTGTTTATCAAATTTAGAGAGTGTGCAACAAGGAAGGATTATGTGTCGGTGGGAGAATGAACCCTCTGAAAAGGACTTCTCAAATCAATCACATTAGGAATTTTTATCTTTATTTTTAAATGTCTAACATTCAGAAATGCATCAGTGGACGATTAAAGGAATGTTATATTTGAAATGGTTTGAATGAAACTTTCAGCACAGACTAGGTGACTTTCCAGAATTTTCATATTCCAGAGAATATGTATGTTGAAAAAAATGCATTATATTCCCTGGGTTCAAAGACATTGTTCTGCAAATATAACTGACTTACAGTGGGGATTTTCCCTGAATGTGTTCTATGCCTCATCTCTTCTGGTGGGAAGGATTTCATTATGGTAACTGTCCCACTTGGGTTATATCCAACATAACATCCTTCCTGCCTGCCCTTCACTACCCTCTGTCACCTTCCCAGTCATTTATTAAGTATAAATACTCAGGGCCACTGCTTCAACATTTTATATCACTCTAAAAAAAAGTGAATCTTCTTTCCCTGTCTTTGCCAACAGGCCTTTGGGTATTATGGAAAGACACAACTAAAAGATACAAAATAAGTTATCACACTCACTATACTCACATGCATATATATTAAAATGCTAATGTGCAAACTTAATACTAATCATTGCACATCAGCAGAATGCAGAAATAGGAAGCATCAGGACTTTGCTCCTCCATGGAGACAAAAATGGACCAAATTACCTTTTAGAGTGCTTCAGAAGCCACTTAGAACACAGCACCCCCAGAGAAGTGCAAAGGAAGAAGAGGCTCATCGAAGAGACAAGAAACGTTTGTCACACTTGCCCACAACAGCGGCTCACCCTCCCTGACACTCGACAGAAACAGTGTGAGAAAACTCTTACCTCTCCTCAGAGAGGATCAAATGAGTGACCTGTACGCTCAATGATCTGGCTGTGCAGATGCTGCCTGAGGAAACTGTTTCTGTCATGTATGCCACAGAGGCAGAAGGAATGAGAGCACCCTTTGGACGCATTATGGTGGCGGCTCAGACAAAAGGTGAGCATTTGTTCAAACACTGGAGAGGCTAAAGAGCTGATTGATACTTGAGTTAAATTCACACTGTCCTGAAATCTACTGAGGTGAAAATTGTCATCCTATAATAAAATACACAGTAACTAAATAATGTTGTGAAAGGTCCCATACAAAAGGAAGCACATTATTATGGAATTATAAAACCAGAATAAGACAAAATTTAACCCGAAGAATTCCACATACAGATGAATTCTGGGGTGCCTGGGTGGGTCAGGCTGTTTAGCGTTTAACTTCAACTCAGCTCATGATCTCGGGGTCCTGGGATGGAGCGCAGTGTGAGGCCCCTGCTCAGGGGGAAGTATGCTTGTTTCTCTCCCTCTGCCCCACTCCCCCAACCCACTTCTGCGTGCTTTCTCCCTAATAAATAAAATCTTTAGGAAAAAAATGGATTTTTTTAAAAGGAAACCTTTTATAGAACTATAACTTTAAAATGAGACTGTGTACCCATGAAAACTAAGCATTCTGAATTATTGGCATGCATTTATTGATAGTAAAATAGTAAAGAATATATATTAAAATCTACCATGAGAAGTTCTAATGGAAAATTTTATGAATAAGCACTTAAAAGACATTGGAAAATGTATTATCATTAATATATCCCTCCTGTACACAGAATATAAGGCCTCCTTTAGAACCAAGCACCATGGGGCACCTGCATGGCTCAGTTGGTTTAGCATCTGACTCTTGATTTTGGCTCAGGTCATGATCTCAGCGTTGTGGAACAGAGTCCCTCAACGGTGTCCACGCTCAGCAGGTAGTCTGCTTGGGATTCTCTCCCTTTCCTTCTCCCTCTCCCTCTCCCTCTGCCCCTCACCCCGAAAGAGCTCATGCACTCTCTCTCTCTGCCTCAGAAATATATCTTTAAAAAAGAGAGAAAAATAAGAATCAAGTACCCCCCAAAAACCCTTCATTTTGAAATAAAGAAATACCATCATAATTTTAAAATATGCCAGCAATGACTCTGTAAAAAATAAATATTTGGGATTAAATTCAGATACGTTCTGAGGAAAGTAGAAGAAAAGCCTAATGGTTAATTTTTCCAGATGTAAAATTAAATTTATAAGCAAAACTTTTTTTTAATATGGGAATTTTACTGATTCCCTTACTTTCTATAAGCAAATGCCCATGTCATATCACCACTTTTGATATAAAAAAAAATCAAAGATGAATATCATGTATAATAAGAAGGTGAGAACACACATGGCAAAGTCACAGCAACTTCATACCATGCAAAATTATAAAATGATTCAATTATTAATAAAGTGACAACTGAGACTTTATTACAGGCTGACAATTCTGAATTCTAAATATTCTAGCTCCCCTATGGCATTATTTAGGTAGGAATTCCAGGAAACAGATACCTTTAATTATTTCACCACTGAGGAATGGGACACATAGGGTGGAAATTTCTAATAATATTTAATACAAAGAAAAATGAACTTTTAAGTGAAATAAAGGATTAGATTTTCTCATTCTAGGGAGGTATTTTGTTACCTGATTAAATTACTGATTCTCAATTTTGTACAATTAAGATTAAAGCCACCATAACATAGGAAAACATAAACCAGAAAACATGTGATATTTGTCTCCAGTGTTCCCAGGATTTCTGCACCAAACCACGATGTGCTTACAACCACCCTGACACACTTCTCCCATGATGAAAAACAGAACTTAAAAAGGACTTAGCATAGAGTTCCTCAGAAATAGGATGATTTTCCCAGGGCCCTCACAGCAATGGAGAAGCTCTCAGATTATGGAGGCCCTCCCACTCCCAGGAGAGTCCCCTGGGCCCTCCCTGTGGATGTGATGGACCATCACTGGAGCTGAAGGAGAATCCTTAGAAAATGTAAGAGCTTGATAATGTTGGATAGCGGATGTCCCTCTGTGAGAGAGGTAGAAATTCAACTATGCTTCCAAAACTAATTTCCATTCAAGGAGAGCTACTTGAACCACATTTTAAGGTCTGTCTTCCTCCTTCACATTTGGACCTCACCTCTGTCATCTGCTACATTCATTCCCACCTACCTGGATGGAAGGCTACTGTCTCCTTTCTCTTCACATCCCAGAGCTGCTTCTCTTGCTCCAAAAAGATGACCAGGTCTGGCTTCCACACAATAAGACCTGTTTATTGGAAAAAATGAATAGTAGTACTGCTGGAGATTCTAACTTTCAATCCACTAGAGGACATTGTAGAATTCTAGAAAATGATTTCCCAAACACTGTTGACCAACAGCCCCGTTAAACATGTAGGAGAATTTTCAAATTTTCACATCATGACCTCCCCTTTCAAGGACTATCAATACAATAATAAGGACTTAAAATTTCAGTTTAAGATGTAGGCAGTACCATTTTTTTGCCACTCACTGTTTACAACTGGCACTTATCTACAGAAGTGATGATGTTCTCTCTTTTTTTGACGGGGGGGGCGGTTTAGTGATGATGTTCTCTTAAGAAACGGAAGCTAAAGCTGAAAAGGAAACACCACGAAGATTTTTCTCTACATCTACAAACCCCTACTTATTTCCCTTATGGCCTGCATCTGAATTCTCAACATTCAAAGAGGAATCTTTCAAGAGACAGTCTTCAAAGGAAGGAGCAAAACCCTGAGTGTGGTTTGGGAAATCTGGAAGGAGTCATCCTCACCCAGGAAGAGGAGGTGTCCGTAGTTCTCTAACATCACATCCCTGTACAGTTCCCGCTGAGTGTGGTTCAGGCATCCCCACTCCTCCTGGGAGAACTCTATGGCCACATCCCTGAATGTCAGCAGTCCCTGCAATAAATACCACAGTTACCAAGTGGCCATTGGCAGAGTTCACAATGGTCCCTAAGACGAAAGAGGGAGTTAATGTCACCAGCTAGACCCAAGACCTGACCTTCCCCAGTTACCTGCTTGTACCCTCCGACCTTTGTCCCACATTTTACTTAACCTCTTCTATTCACCTTATCTTTTACTCCAGGCAAAGACCCCATGGTCTAGTCTCCTGTCAAGGAACAGAAACTATCCAACTAAAGGTAATGACGGCCCAAAGGATGAAACTGGGCCAGCCCAGGTTGAGCTTAACCCTTGACTCACCTGTGTAGATGGACCAAAGAGTAACCCATGGTACTTTTACCTCATTGTAATATGAAAATCTCTGTCCTAGGATAAGCACAAACCTCACTTACATAACATACAAAGTATGTATGGAAGTGTTGTCTTCAGGTACCTTTATGACCTTATGCCCAGCTCTACACAAGATGATGAAGCCCCTCTTTTTAAATTTCCACCTGAACCCTAAATAAAAGGAAACCATTCTCCCTGGCTCTGGGAGTCTCTGCTTTGGAAGCTATTCTCTGTGATCTCCTTATTGGCCGCAAATCAAGTTTCCTTTGCGTCACAAGCCTACCTGGTATAATTTCTATCTGTGACTCTATTATATTTCGGGATTTTAAGACACTCAAACATGTTAAGTAAGTGGTTCTTGTTTTTTTTTTTTTGTTCTTTTCTGAAAATACAAAGAGGTAAATAAAACGGTAGCTCTGTGACCTAAGTGTGCAGTAAAATAAAAACCTACAAGATGGAGGTCTTAGAACCTCCAGTCCTAGAAATCATTATCTCTGCTACACAAAGGTGAGAGCCTTCATTGTCCAGTGGAAAGTGATGTGAAGGGTCAAGAAAGTATTCTTGAGACGTTTTTGGTGCAAAAAGCTGTTTTTATTAAAGTCCAGGGACAGGACCCCTAGGCAGAAAGACCTACACTGTCCTTGCGAGAAGCCATTGATAAAATAGTTTTAAGTTGGGGGATAGAAATAAAGGAAGTTTCTGCAGGGATTTTCATATGTTAAAGAGGACTTACAGGATCCTGGAGGTCTGGCTATTATCAAGCTGGTTGCTTTTTGCCTCTAGCGAAGCATTAACATTAAGGCAGTTGTGAATTCCTGATGGAATGTCATACTCTGCCAGTCTCAAGTATTTACCAAGGGTCTGGAAGTTGAATTTCAGTTTATCTACATTTCTTTTACCTTTGTTCTCCTCAAAAGAAACTAGAAGCAAGAGAAATTCAGAAGAAAGAAGTTTCCACTTTAAATGTGATGGTTTCTGCACATGGCTCAGTAAATCCATCTAAGATACTTACGATTTTTTTTTTAAAGATTTTATTTATTTCTTTGACAGAGAGAGACACAGCGAGAGAGGGAACACAAGCAGGGGGAGTGGGAGAGGGAGAAGCAGGCTTCCCGCGGAGCAGGGAGCCCGATGCGAGGCTCGATCCCAGGACCCTGGGATCATGAGCTGAGCCGAAGGCAGACGCTTAACGACTGAGCCACCCAGGCGCCCCAACACTTATGAATACTAAGGGAGAAAATATGAACTTTATAGGGGAGAAATCTGTCAGAGTGGACCAGCCCAAGTAAAAGAAGGTAACATGAGGGCCCTTGGGTGGCTCAGTTAGTTAAGCATCTGTCTTCCACTCAGGACACAATCCCAGGCTCCCGGGATTACGCGCCGAATCCAGGTCCCTGCTCAGCAGGGAGCCTGCTTCTCCCTCTGCCCCTCCTCCCTGCTCGTGCTCTCTGGTCTCTCTCTCTCAAATAAATAAAATCTTAAAAAAAAGAAGGTAACATGAGCTCTAAGGAAACAAATTGATACCAGTGCCTAAAGCACACCAAAGGACCTATTATTACTGGTATGTTCTTGTGGTCATCAAACATTAAATCAGAATATAAACTGAATTATGAGAATACAGTGCATTTATACAAAGTTCAATCACACAGTTTCCAAGTCCTGTAATATCTATTATATTTTAAGTATTTTTTTCACAATCTAAAGAACATGAATCCGCCCCCCTTCCCCTCCACCCCACCTCTTTCTCCCCTGAGAACTTTCCCAGTTCTTCTGAGCCTCCTATCCATCATGTTGATTTATGCATTTTCTGACTCCTGGTCTACAGAAAGCTGAAAAAGCATCCAGATGGGACCTAAATAAGAACTGCTTTCCTTTACTGATATCCCAGGACCCGACCCCATCAGCAACAGGAATCTGGAACTCAAAGACTTCCCCTGTGAATCAGCCACAAAGGGAATATTTTCAGTACTTGCAGGACTTTAATTCAAAGTGACAATTGTTGATGGACTATTGGAAGCCAGGTTGGAGAGAAGGGAGAGAAGGCTCTGGGATATAGGGAAGAATTGTTCTAAAGACTTAACTTTCAGTATCATTTTTGAAAAGGTTTCAAAAATTAGGTGAAAACACAAAGCGGAATTATCAGAAATACAGGAATCAACATTTGCAATTTCTAAATGCAAGGAATTTCAGGAGAAAAAGATGAGAAGGCCTCTGACCTCAGATGCAAGGCTTACCTGAGAACTGGCCATTTCTTCTTCTTTCACCTTCTCCTCTAGATTTCTTTGTCAGAAGAGATTCATGGAGAAATCACAGCTGCATCAGGAGAAAATGCCTTTAAAGCCACCAACAGAGCCTCTGCACCTCTCAACTGCTCGGCCTGAAGGCAGGACTTTGAAATGCAGAAAAGGCCCAACTTCCTAGTCCTTTGTGTCAGGAGCCTTTCAGAAACCACGAGCTCCTACTTGGAGACCAATCCCTGACTTTTCCTCCTCCGCTTCCAGGGGGCCTCCCCTCCCACAGATGCCCACAAATTCAGCTACAGCCTAGGAAACCTGTGCTCCAGGGACCTGACCCTCCCGGACTCATGTAGCAGAGACCCTGTTTCCTCTTCTTGAGGCAAACCCTGCTCTCAATTCTCATAAAATAACGGAAAGCCCTTGTGCTTAACCCTGGCCTCACATAGAATCACCTCGAGCCCTTAATTAACACAACACTGTTGTTTTCACCAGTTGACAGAATCTGAGGGGGAGGGCACCAGCAAGGATCATTTTGGGAACTTCACGCTGTTATCCCATTGGGAAGCACTTGGGGAGGTGACCAGGCAAAGCACAGTATCCAAGGCTGTGGTTGCTAACCAGATTTAAATCGATGCTTTTCCCACTCATCAGAGTTTCTGGAGATTTATACATTCTCCCTCTTCCTGCTACACAGAGGGAGGCACCCTTACAAATGGAGCTTTCCCTTATAAATGCAAGTATCTCTTACAAAAGTAAACATACTGTGTTTCAGGGCTTTTCCTTTGTCTGCCGTTTCTTTAAAATAACAAGTGGAGGGGCGCAGGGGCGGCTCAGGAGGCTGAGCATGTGACTCCTGAATTCACCTCAGGTCGCGATCTCAGTGTCAGGAGGTCAGCATCCACTGAGCAAGGAGCCTGCTTAAGATTCTGTCACTGCGCCCCCCTTCCCCCTTCCCCGCTCGCGCGCGCATGCTCACTCACGCTTTCTCTACCTCAAACCACCCCCCCCCAAACACACACACACACTAGCCGGCTTAGAATAACCCTTAAACAAAGAGACATATTTTGTGCTAAGAACATGCTCCCCCTCGGTAGGTATAAATGTTTTCATAAGTAATTGCAAAACAGTTTTCCAAAATGAATGTACTTTCTACTTCCCCATCAGCAATATATGAGAATTCTAATTCCTCAAAATTTCCACTAAAACGCTGTTATTCTTCTTTATTTTTGGAATTCTAGAAAATAATGAGTGGTTTCAGACTTAAAATTTGAAGTGCTCTTACTTCAGTTGCCCTGGTGACTCAAACTGAAACCGCTTGAGAGAAGTTGAACAAAAATCAAATGGCTGCATTGAAACAGCAGTGAGGCTTGAGGGTATAAAGTATCTTTTTCCCTCTGTTCCCCAAACTACCCCCTCCCCGCTTCTTAGCCTTTGTTTTCTGTTTTCAGGAATCCAGGACCACTCGGAAAGCCTGAACAAGGCTGGCAGCGCAGACCCAATTCCTGTTCAAACAGGCCAGATCCTGTATAACCCTACAAAACCCTCAGCCCCTGCTACCGGGTGAGCTCGTTCTTCTGAAGGCCTCAACTTCCACCAGCCTCCTCTGTCCAGCAGAACTATAAAGCTACTGTTCTTCTTGACCCCCCAACTCTGTCTTCAAGTTTGGCTCTGAAGCACGGAGGCCAGTTCTGGACAACAGAATGAATGTGTAGGAGAGGAAAACATTTCCCTCATCTGTTCTCAGTTCTTTGGCCGGTCTAATAACTAAACTGATGTAAGACAGATTCACAAGAGGAAAAAAAAAATAATTTCTTAATTATGGGAACCTCAAAGATATGAGGCTCAACCACAGGAAATTGATGCTTACATGCTACGGTGACTTAAGAATTCTTGAGTGTAAGGATTTAGAATTTCAAAAGGGGGTAAGCATATTCACAGGAAAAAGGAAAGAGCAAATTTTGTCAAACGATAGTTTGCAACACCAGGCAGGCAACTCTTCATAATATAAAAAGTTAACATCTGATACTACTGATAGAGTTCTGCCATCTAATTCATTCTTCGTATATAAGCAACCTCACAAAAGAAGGAAATCCTTCCATTTGCAGCAACAGAATAAACCTAGGGGACCTTTTTTTTAAGTTACATAGAAGCCCTGCCCGTGCCCCTTTGCCCAACTTAGTAGTCTTTAAATTTTAGCATGTACCTTTAGCGTGTGTGATTGATAAACCAAACCTCTTTGTGTATCTATAGGTCATGCTTTGTTTCCTAGAAAGACTTGGAGCAGAATCCTCTTGCATAACCTCCCCTGGGGCACCAATGCATCCCCTCCAAGAACCACAATAGCGTCTGTAGCTGAGTCTGCAGGCACCAAGAAGTGTGACAAACTACCATTCTCCTCTTTTACGAATTACTGGCCTCAAGTTCCCTTAAAAAATCTTGGGCCAGGCTGAAACCATGGAGTTGGTTTTTGGACAAGACTTCTACCGAACTGATTAAAGCTCATATTCATTTCCAATTTTGCAAAATTACTCTGGTGCTTATCATTCAGTTTGATATTAACTATGCAGTCATGAGACCCTGTAAGAATGTACCAACCAGCCCATATTCAATCCTTATCAAAATTATGCAGGCTATAGGTCAATCTTTAGTTAAAGGTGAACATTTTTCTGTTTCTTTCCCTCATCACCTTATCCCTGACCAATGATCAGTTCTTAAATCATTAAGGTTGTTGAAGGGTGAAGGGCTCATATTCTGTAACTTCTTCAAGGTGACAGGGGTTGTAGAGATGTCCCATGCACTGAAATTGGTCTCTATCTGTCCCTACGTGTAACTATTCCAGAAGGCCATTGTTATAGAGTCCAGAGGGACACCGCGGTGAATCTGTTTTGAGTAGTCAGTGTGATCTGTAGGCTGGGTGAAGGAGTCAGGAACTGCTTGTACACATCTCAGCAACAGGAGAGAACAAAGCAAAAGAGAAAACACTTAGAATATTATTATAATGAGCAATGAGAAGACTCTTTAGTGTGACCATAGTCTACCTCTCCATGAGGAATTTAATCAATTCTTAAGTGGAGACAGAGAGAGAGAGAAATCAAGAAACAGACTCTTAATAAAAAACAAACCAATGGTTACCAGAGGGAAGGGGGGTGGGGAGAAGGCTTAAATAGGTTTTGGGAATGAAGGACTGCACTTGTTGTGATAACCGCTTGATAATGTATGGAATTGTTTAACCATTATATTGTACAGCTGAAACTAATATAACACTTTTTGTTAACTGGAATTAAAATCTTAAAAAAGTAAAAAAAAAAAGTGGTGGCAAGCCATTAAAATACTGACGTATCTTTACAATAGCAATAGACAGACGTACAGAATATTAGTTGCTGTGGTTGAAATGAAGAAAACTTCCCAGATATCAGTAGAGGATAGCTAACGTCTCCCTAACAGGGCATAGGATTGTACATCAACATTTCTTAACAATTACTTCAGGCCTGAAAATTATTGAAATTATGACTCCTAGGTCATTATATCAGAACAAGAATGTTTCTTGAATGATTGTAATCTGTATTTTCAACAAGGATCACACAGTGTGGGGCGCCTGGGTGGCTCAGTCGTTAAGCGTCTGCCTTTGGCTCAGGTCATGATCCCAGGGTCCTGGGATCGAGCCCGCATCGGGCTCCCTGCTCCACGGGAAGCCTGCTTCTCCCTCTCTCACTCCCCCTGCTTGTGTTCCCTCTCTCGCTGTGTCTCTCTCCGTCAAATAAATAAATAAAATCTTTAAAAAAAAAATTAAAAAAGAGGAAAAAAAAAGGATCATACAGTGGATTTGAAATGCATAACTTAGTCTATGTGTGATCCTAAGATATTTTAATAATAGAACATATTGGTTTTTAATGTGTTAACAGTGATAGGTAATGAATGATGTATTATCCTGCCACCAATATTAACCTACTTCACCTTATTTAAGAATGTAGACAACAAATGGTATCTACCACCCATTTGATAACGATGTAATATAACTAGTAATCCATTTTCTCTGTGGCCTCAGACTTTAAATAATGTGTGGTTATATTTCCGAGAGTTTATCTATTGCATCATTTTCTCCTCCTTTTAACTCCTGGGACATCAACATGGATATATTGTAGATTTTATAGGGGGACTGTAGGCAAACTTCTCCATGATGGTGCTACTTGGCAGCCATTTTGTGTAGTCAGTTGGTTGGCAGGGGACTTGAACTGACACCAGCCCCTCTCACTAGTGCATTCTCTAAACAACACCCTACAGAGGCACACATTAATATAACTTCTGATGGGGCGCCTGGGTGGGCTTAGTCGTTAAGCATCTGCCTTCAGCTCAGGTCATGATCCCAGGGTCCTGGGATCGAGCCCCGCATCAGGCTCCCTGCTCAGGGGGAGCCTACTTCTCCCTCTCCCACTCCCCCTGCTTGTGTTCCCTCTCTCGCTGTCTGTCAAATAAATAAAATATTTTTTAAAAAAGGTAACTTCTGATAGGACACCTCAACCACTGCCCTTCTGAACCACCACCTCCCCTGGCATCCTAGAAATTCCCCTTGTGTACCCTATAGAGAAGATACCCACAGAGTTTACCTAAATCTGTTTAAGTTTCAGTGGCTCAATCCCGGACTTACCCAGGAACTCCTGAGCACTCCACCCATGGAACCTAATAAAGGATTGAGCCCCATGTCATAATGGAGGGGTTCCTTTGATGTTTTAAATGAAGTGATTACACACACATGGCAGTACTGGATGTGTGACAGATATCCCTTAAGTAGGAGGAAAATATTCCAATATGAGACAAAGCAAGAGAGAGAAAGATTACAGGAAGAAGAATTGGCATGAATTCTGCATGTGGAGAAAGGATACCTATTTCCAGGTTGCACAACTGAGTCTCTGAATATAGAAAGATAAATTCTACTTGTCTAATTTTTTAATGATCTCCAGTTCTTCTTGATTCCTCAGTTTCATTCCCAGCTACAAATCCATCTGAGAAAGTTTTTTGTATGTGTTGTGGCTAGAGAGTCCTCATTGACCTCTTAATTCAGATTAGAGGGGTACAAGG